TTCTTGAAAAATATTCATAGTTACTTCTAGTCAAAGGTATTTTCTGAGTTTTCATATTGTCTAAAAAAAAAAATCTGGGTCTAGGGAGCTCTGGTGGCCTAGTGGCAAGAAGTTGCACTGCAATCCCAGAGGTATGTGGTTCAAATCCACCAGATATTCTGCTGGAGAAGGAGGAGCAATCTCCTCCTGTACCAGTCAGATCCGATTTGATGGTACACACACACAAAATAATAAGATAAAATTTTAAAAAAAATCTGACTTCTTTTAGCTCTACTTTCCCTGTTTTACCAGAGTCCTATTAAGTTCATCTAGTATATTTAAGTATTCTTTGTCTATCTTCAAGAAATCTAAACTGCTAGAAATCCTACTATTTGTACTTTACATTATTTTATAGCTCCTATATCAACCCATTATCAAAATGTATACATTAACACAACAGGGTTTCAATGTGCCTCCGATACAGTTAATAAAAACTTCCTACAAGGGCAGTCAAACCTAGATTTCTTTATGCCCAAGTCATTACAACACTTCTGTCCTCTTGGTCCTATTCTAATCATCTGTGGAAATCAGAACTTCACTCATAATCTTCACAGAATTAGTCTCTAAAAGAACAGTGTACACATTTGTCAATGACTGTATTTACCAAGGTCTATATGAAAAATGTCTTCTATTTCCTATTTTGTGCAATCCTAACAGATACATACCTATGTCATATGCCAGGAAATCGGCAGAAAAACATTTTGCACCGTTACTCAAGGACGTGTCATTATGGGTGTTTCCTCCAAAAATAAGCATAGCTCCATTGATAAGAACAGCTGAGTGAAGGTATCTGGCAAACCCACTTTCTTTCAAAATAGTCCTACAGGATAAAATTTAAAAATGTATTACAAAGGATAAAAAGACCTCCCTGATTACATATTGGCTCTAATTTCCATGTAGAATGTTCCCCTGTGTAACAACAGGACACAAAATAACTCAAAAATAGCATACATATTGCAAGATTTTATTTTCATTTTTAAATTCATGGTACTTTAAAATGCTTAAAGAAACAAAATATAAAGCCGAACTATTCTTCTAAAGTCTATTTTTGTTATCATTTCATTTTACAAAGGTAGGAACCAAGCATCCTTAAAACTAAAGGCCATATACACCATCGCTTTTAAATATCAAAGGAAGTAAGGAGTTCATGAAATTCAATTTATCCTGAAATTTATTCAGTTAAAACTACATAATAAACTCCAAAATATATATCTGATTTTTTTTCCTTTTGTTTAAAAACAAGTATTCTCCAATGATGAACATCTGATTTAAAGAAATTTCCCATCACTCTTTATTGTTATGTCACTATGATGTTGCTGCTTTGTGCTGAGTGAGAATCAATCAGCTCACAGCTGACCTTCCAGCAGGTTTTCAGAGGCTGAAAATCACAGAAGAGGAGACCATCCATTTTTCTTCTATGAAGCAGCTGGTGGATTCAAATTATACCTGCCTTTGAGTTGGCAACATATCGCCTTATCCCCAGGTCACCAGAGACCCTCCACCAATGCCTAAGCAAAGCAAATTCACAAGCATCTTCATTTGCTGTAGGTTCAGCTTTCAAGTCACTGAAGAAAATCTCCAGCTCTTTGCTGCACTAAGACTGAAGAATTGAATGTTTGTAGTTTGATTAACTGTAAGTTCTTATAGACAAAGGAACAGATTCCATTCACAGCCTGAAATTGCCTGTATAATGTACATGCATAGTGTAAGGACAGCAAGTCTAAAACTCAGTGTATTTTCATGAAGTGGACAACTAAATGTCCAACATTCAGATTTTTAAAAAGAGAAAGAATGTTGCTACTGTTCTGATTCTAAGCATATATTCACTTTGTGACTTTGATAAATAAAATTACAGTTTGTAGTCATATGTCTAAGCCTTTTTTTTGTTCAACAGTATTTATGAAACTATCACAATGTTGTATGTAATTGAACATCTTGTACATTTTAAAGAAACATTAAAGTTCATATAATTGCTTTTTTATTTCAATTCTATTCTGAAAGAGAATAATATACATTTGTATTCATAATCATATCAGACCTTATGAAAGGATATATGATAAAGGTACATAGCCATCTAAATGAATCCATTCATAACTACACCAAATAAACTTTTGATTAAACAAATAGAATGTAAATACATTCATAATTAATATACATATGATGACAGTTAGGATATATAATTAGTATAGGCAAGTATCCCCTATACCATGGATTACAATAGCAAATGTCTAAAAGCATGGATCTGTCATCTAATAGCATTATGAGAAATTCCATAAATTCTTTCTCTAGAAGAAAAGTTGTAATTTGTAAAAAGTATTTTAAACAAATCATTTAAGACCTCAGAAAGCTGTGCAACGAGCAATAGCCAATGATGAAACTTTTATTCAAGAAAATCTTGCCAAGCTCCATAAAAGTGAGAGTCATGTCCATGGCATTTGACCTATGACCTCGTTCTAGTCCTTCCCCAAGTAAGTGATGACAAGAACACAAATCTTTCTCCATCCAGCTCATAGTCCACAGCAATTAAGATTTCACTGAAAGAACGGAGCTGCTAGCATTTCTCATGACCTCAACGTGAACCTCTAGGCTGTAGAAGTTCTCTTTCAGGTAAGAGAGACAGATCTGAAATTTCCCATCTCATTCTCCATCCAAAATGACAACCATGATGTTGCCTTTAAAAGTCTATCACCTACTATCTTTGAGTGGACACTGCTACCTTGTTTCCAACTACCTTCAAAATCCGCCTGCCAGGAGCTTGAGCAAGACATACACTGTTCCCCACTCTCGTACCCTGCTCCTCACGCGACCTCCCGGGTTCCTCAGGACATTCATTACTGAATGGTTTTCAACCAGTCCAAAGCCTTGTGATTATTAGGAAGGACAAGAAATAAGAAAACTAAAAGGAATCCTCTAGAGTCAAAACAAATTGGAAAATCTATCCTCCTTTGAAAATAGGTTCAAACTGAGTTTAATCTGACAAAGAAGCTACCTCCGGGCAATACCGAAAACAATAGAGTAATATGCTAAGTCTGAATGGAGCCTCCAGACACCCTGGTGGTATAGTGGTTAAAGTACTCAAATGCTAACCAAAAGTTTGGCAGTTCACAATCACCAGCTTCTCTGTGGGATTAAAAAGAAAAAGAAAAAAATCTTTACGTAATTAATAGAGATTACAGTCTGAGAAACACTAAGGATAAAGGTGAGACTTTCATTTCTCTCCTGCAGGGTAACTGTAAATCAAGATGAATCCAACCTGAACTGGTTTGTTTTTAATCTTTAAGTGGAAGCCAGCAGCTGTGTGTGATAATAGCACAGACAGAGGCCTGACAGAGAGGTCAGGGAATAAAATGGCTAGAGAAGGTCTTTCTAATACTCTTGTCCTGCCAGAGTGACTGAATCCATACATCACTAGACTGCACCCTCTGAGAAGCTACATCAGATAATGCATATTCAAACAAACTTGACCGAAAGACTACCAACTGATAAACAAGCCAGAGGAACAACAAAACACAAAAAAGGGATGGGAAATCATTATCCTGAGTTGCTATAAAAGATTATTATTTTATTTTAATGATTAACTTTCCAAACACAGGATAAAGTTGAAAATAGCCGGTGTACAATCTCCAAAAATCACCTGGAGGGTCAATAATGAACTGATTCTGATTCAGGAGCAATGAGTTTGTTTTATATTTTTTTGCTGTTGTTGTTTTATATTTTTTAAAAAATTACAGCTTGAAAGAATATATGTCTCATATACAGGCCATAGAAACTGCCTTTTTAAAAGAGCCCAGCTGTTTAGACACGGCAGGCAGTGACTTCTGTTTCAGTTATTGTGTCAGTTTCTCTCCTTTAAGAGTTTCCCTCACTTTAAACGACACTCTGCTTTGCTAAGCATGATGTCCTTCCAGAAACTGGACTTTCCTCATGATGTGTCCAGAGCAAATGAGCACAAGGTTCAATAACCTTACTTCTAAGGAACATTCCAGCACTATGAATTCTAAAACTAGTTTGTTTCTTTTGGGAATCCCTGTTAGAGTCGATATTCTTCACCAGCACCAAAAACTGAATGCATCCCCACTCAACAATGCTTCACTAGCACCAAAAATGTTTTCACTGTTTAGCTTTCACATGCGTAAAATTCCCAAACCCACAGCCAGCCATTTTATTGTTGTTGTTGTTATATGCCATCAAGTCGCGACTCACAGTGACCCTATGAACAACCCTAAACCCTGCTCTATCCTGTGCCAATCACACCATCTCCAACACACCTGCCCTCATTACCCCAGTCACTGAATCAATCGACCTCATAGAGGGTCTTCCTCTCCTGCGCCATCCCTCCACCCTCCCAAGCACGATGTTCCTCTCCAAGGACTGGTCCCTCCTCGTAATATGTCCAAAGCATGTCAGACAAAGCCTCAAAATCCTTGCCTCCAAGGAGCAGCCCGGTTTCACCCTCTCCAGGACAAACCTGTTCGTTTTCTTAGCAGTCCATGGTACGTACATTCAATACTCTTCTCTAGCACCACAGCTCAAAGGCATCAATTCTCCTTCTATCCTCCCTAGTCATTATCCAGCTCTCTGATGCGTATCAAGTGACTACAAAGACCATGGCATGTATCAGGCGCACCTTAGTCTCCAGACTGACATTGTTGCACTTTAGTACTTTAGAGAGGTCTCTAACCACAGACTTTCCCATCACAATCTAATTAGTTGCAATTCATAGTGATTCTCAAGTGGATTTCCAAGGCGATATATCTTTACAAGAAGAAATTGCTCCATCTTTTCCCCTCAGAATGAATGGTTTCAAATGAATGGTTTCCCCTCAGAATGGTGGTTTCAAACTATCAACCTTTTGGTAAGCAGTACTACATGTAGCACTCTCTAACAGTAAGAAGTGACTAAAATGACCACAGCTTTGTCAGGTGCACCTTAGACATCAAAATGACCTTTTTGTTTTTAAAAGTCCTTTAAAAGGTCTTGTACAGTGTATTTGCTCAATGCAATATGGTATTCGATTGATCTGCTGTTTCCATGGATGTGGACTGTTGATTCAATCAGAATGAAAAAATACTGACAATTTACATTTCTTCATTTATCATGAGATTCTCTACAGGTATAGTTGTGATGATTCCCTCTTCTTTACATCGAGGTGTACTGTATGCAGAAGACTGGATGTAGTCTCTGACTTTCAATAGGAAGCATTTCAAGTCATCTTTCCAGAAAGCAAGGTTATGTTATCTTATATCATAGGTAGTTAGTGAATCTTCATCCAATCTTAATGTCACATCCTTCACCAGACAGTCTAGTGTCTTGGATCATTTGTTTAGTAAAACACTGAATAAGGAAGGCTAAAGACTAGAATCCTGCCACACCCATTTCCAGTGTGAACCACTCTGACCACTCTATTCTCTTTCTAAATCCTAACATTCCAGGTACAAGTCCTTATCACTCTTTGTCATGTTATCCTTAATTTGTTATGCACCATACAATTGAAGTCTATATAGAATCAATAAAATGCAAGTAAACATCACTCTGGTGTTCTCTGCTTTTGCCAAATATTCATTTGACATGATCTATCCGGTCCACATTTTCTTGTTAAACTAGCTGGAATTTCCCTATTTACTGATATAAGTCTGTAGCAGTTTCTAAATTATTTTCAGTAAAAAGTCTGCTAGTAAAAAAAAAAAAAAATTAAGAATATTGTTAAATTACTTCCATATTCATTTGGTTGCCTTAGTTTGGAATGGACACAAATATGGAATTCTTCCCATCAATTAGCCAGCGCAGTCTTCCAAATGGTATGATATAGACCAAATGAGT